GAATCTGAAATGAAACTGCGGGCTGTTTTTTATATGTAGACCTTCCACCCTTAGATTCGAGCTCATAAAGAACCTCAAAGCCTGCATGCAGTTCAATTAATTATTTAAGCAACTTCTATATAGAGATTTTTTTTTTTTTAATTGAGTTGTAAAATTTTACGTTGAACTTACAATGGGGCTGTCGCAAGGACCGGCAACAATTGCTGATTTGTTGACAGCCTGCATATAAAATTATAGCAAATAATTAATTAATTATGAGTTTTGCATCCTAAAACGTTTAGTTTTATCATTTTTAGTGAGGAGTTTTATGTTGATTGATCATTATGAAAAAAGCTTAGGGCTACTTTTGAAATAAAGTTTTTTTTTTTTTTTGTGTGGTTCGACACTTTTTGAAATAAAGTTATAAAACAAAATAACATGGTGATTTGATTGGAAAATATTCAAACACGTGTTCTCTCTGTATTAATGAGTATTATTACAATATTTAAATAAATTAGACTGCAAATGTCTTAATTAGTTTAAGTTACCCGGTGAGGTTTACAAGGAAGATCCCACCATTTTTGTCCCCGGCCGTCGATAACTCCGGCGCCTTTCAAAGCCAAACCGTTGACTCTATAGAAGACAAGCCACTGTCTCTTACTCACATTGCTCGGCCACGAGTCTGGTCCGTCTGGTGTTACAATGGTCCCGTCAACCTAAACCATAGAAATAAATTATATTAACAACAAGAAAATCCCGTACGTTTGCTAGATATGTAGTGTAGATATACGAAACCTTTTGAAGTAGAGAAATATTACTTGGAAGAATTGGTAAGAGCGGCAAGGACCGGTGAAAATGGTTGATTGAATCATGAACGTGTATCCGTAAGGGACAAGCAACACTGAATCGGTGCTGTTCTCGTTGTTGCAAGCCGAGTCCCACGCAGTTTTGAATGCTTGAGTGTCGTCTGTTTCACCATCTCCGACCGCACCGAACTTCCTCACGTTGTAGACTCCGTTGTTGTCTTCTTCCGGCTCGTCGGAAGGTGACGGTGGCGGTGAGGGTGATGGTGCGTCAGGGGGACCCGGAGGAGGAGTAGGAGGCTGAGAGATGGAGGAAGAAGGCGGCTGTGGTTTTGAGGAGTGGTGGTTATGGTTATTGCGTTTGTGTTTGTCTTTGTGGTGATGGTATCGAGATTCGGTTAAAGAGATAAGTGTGAGAATAAGTATGACGACGAAGCAGAGGATTTGGTTGCGATTATAAGTAGAAGATAACATTTTTTTCAAGGTGTTCTTTTGAAAATGTGGGTGGTGATTTTGAGGTGAGAGTGTTTGGAGATACAAAAAAAAAGTGTGTAAGAATAGAAGTCGCACTCACTAAGTTCAGAAAGCTTCTTGGAAATGTTAATGCAGCAAAAGCAGACAAGTCTGGTTCCTTTATATATACTGCAACGTCGTGAGCTCATAGGAAGTGGAAACCGATTCCGAAATGTTTTTTTCTTTTTTTTAATTTTACTTTTTGGAAACATTAATTTTCAACAAGTGGTGTAGTGATACCTAAATTTTTACCGGGGTTTTTGGGGGTTTATTGATTAGGACTGTTACTATTGTTATGACTTATTGTAGTTTTGACTATAACTTCTTCTTCTTCTTTTTTATTTTTTTTTTATTTTTATTTTTTTTAAGTTAGTGGTGTTGTGAGTGATTATGTGAATTTATTAATTAGTAATATATATATATATATATATATATATTTAAAATTCTTATTAAACTCTAATATCATTTTTATATTATGCTTGTAAATTAAGTTTTTTTTTGTCTCTATGTAAGTACATCCATACAACATAAACATTTTTTAAAATTGCACACCTTAAAAATGGGATTTAGTTTTAGTATTTTATCCGCTTTTGTATTAATTTATCCCCACTTTGAAAGACTTTCCCAGTGGATATGTATAGATATTGTATTTCGGACAATTTTATTCAAGAAACGACGAAACATATAACATGTAAAAAGAATTATTCTCCACTAGGGGATATGAAATACATCTCTTCTTACAATACAAATCTATTAACTAAGTTTCATTTCTTTTTCATTTTTTTTTTGTTTGAGAAAACAAGAAGAGAACGTCCACGAGTGGGTTTTATCTAACTTCTTTCGGCTTCTTCAGTGGTCCGATCTTTCTCTCATCTATTCTTTCGTATATATTTATAGAAAAGGTAAGGTAAGGAACACATGATTTGTTAAATACATGGATAAATTTATTGGCTTTGTCTATTGCAAATAATAAACTATAATTTTGTATAACCGACCAAACCATTATTGATTGTATACCCAGAAGAACACTATTGAGTATTCTTTTGATCGTATTTGAGAATTTCACCGCCCATCTTTACACTTTTCGGTGGAAACCAATTATGTTTGGTCTCTCAACTCATCTTTTCTCTTCTTTTCTTTTTCTTCGAATTTTCCGAAAACTAAATATACTAATATTTGTAGCACAAAAATAAATAAAAAAATACTCGAACGCTTATTCTACTCTCTTCATCACATGTTTCGTAATTGTAATGGACCAATTATTTTATTTTATTTTATCAATATTTATCAACCAACCTCATTTACCTAATTTTTCCTTTTTAATTTTAGGATAGTCAGTCAAGTCACCCAAACATATCATATAAGAACATAATGAAATGTATTATTCTTTTCAACAAGAACATAATGAATTATACGTGCAGCGCTTGTGACCTCATCCTCCACACACAAAATGGCGGCTCTAATACGACATATTAAAGCTAATATTAATTGCAAAAAAGTATTGCATAGGCAAATTAAGTACGGTTACTTTAATAAACATTATAACTAAATTGTGTATAATATAGATCATGTGTGTGTATATTAGTGTATATCGATGAAAAAACGAATTTCCACACACAAAACGTTTATGTAAACAAAAGGAAATGTTAAAAGACATAACAATTAGATTTTAAATTTTCAATAAAAATGTAAATATTTAATTTCTGTAATAACCAAAAATATTGTAAAACTTATGCATGTTATATTATCAACTGATCTATTTGAGTAATTGATCATTTATAGTCTCCAAGAGATAAAAGAAAGTGAAATCAATCCATTTTCTTAAGTATATTCTGCAGTTCAATTTTTTTGACTAAATTAATATGAAGATCGATTTTCTTAACAAAATGAGCATATACATATGTTATAATATATTTGTGGAATACTATGTGTTTTTGTCACATCTGTGGAATAGTGTGTTGAAAGTGGAAGGTAAAGTCACATTCTGAGATGGGGATTGATATGAACTAGTTGGTCCATATAAGGCAAGAGGCTATGTTAAGTGCTTAAGACTTCCTATAAGACTCTAAATGTCTATGGCTACTTTATAAGAGTATGGAAGATATTGCATGCTTCTATACAAGGATACTTAAGTCATATACATGTGTGTATAACATCGTGGGTTTGTGATATAAGATATTATGGAAGAAGTTACATACATATATAATATATATAGACATGTGTGTTTTAGTGTGAATAGAAGATATCGGGTCTTTCAAAGTTCTGCCCCAGTCTAGAGGATTTGGTAGACATACACTTTGCTTCATTTCCAGTGCACGTCTCCGTAGTCCATACTTTGCTCCATCTTCTAATTTATCCAGCAATTTTCATCTTTAAGAGGTAATATATATATACGTAAAAATTGTTTCCAATTCATTGGGGTTGACCAAAATTATTATTGACTATTTGTTATTCCGTTTTATATAAACCAAAAGCTTAGTAGAAATCTATTTGTGGTCGTAATACAGTGTTTGTTACTTAGGCGGCTGGTGTTTCATATCATATTGAAAGAAATTTTTTGATATTGTTTAACAAAAAAAAAGAAATTTTTTGATATAAAGATTTTCATGTGGATATTATAAAGTGCCTATCTTATATGATATACACTGAAATGTGTAATTTTTCTGTAATGCCGTTTTTTTTGTTTAAAAAAAAAAATGATTGTGTTATAATATATCTGTCACCACAATAATTATCATTGTTAACTTTAAGGGTGTTCAAATTAACGGTTTATAGTTAGATCATGGATAATATTTGTGCAGTTTTTTTAAATAGTGGCTGGCTGCTCTTTGTTACATTTTTTTTGTTTATTTTTGTTGTTGTTGCCTTTAAAGAAGAATACAAATCTATACACACAGAGACAAAGGAAAAAGATCCGTTACATTATACACACAGAAGTAGAGGAAGGAGTGGAGATGTCGGCTAAATTCGAAATGATTAAAGGAGACTTGGACATCCGCATGATTTTACCCACCCATTTACTGTATCTCCCACTTCTCTCAATGCCTTTGAGAGTTGAGACACACACACAAAGACACAAGCCTCTCTGTGTGTTAAGAGGCCCCTTTCTAGAATTATTATCGTTGGCGTAATCTCTCTATAACGGTTTTTTCCTTAAGCTAACAAGACCGTACAAACTCAAAAAGCTGTGCGAATACGAAACCAAGTTGGGACGGGATAAGACGCAACAGAACGGAGTGGAAGTAAAATAATTTGTCGTCATTCGTGGGCCAAGCCCATTAGCAACTGATAAAACAGGCAACTCAGTTTTTCTTTTGCTTCTTGGTTTATACAACTTGCAACGATATGTGAAAATAACAATAACTTCAACAAACAAATGATTACTTGGCTTTATAGTAATTAGTTGACACTAAAACTTGTATTAAGGGTGGGCGTAAAATCGAATTAAAACAACAAGCCAAAAAATTAAATTTTTATAAGTTGAACTCTAATTCGATTTTTAGTTTTATTATTTTCAAAATCCAAAAAAAGAAATTTCAAAAATAAAAATATCTAACGGTGATAATCCAAAATAAATCACAAAAGAATTTATTTATTTTTTTGGTAAGGACAAACGAATTTATTTTAATAAATCCGATAGATCCTTTAACCGGATTTCTGACTTGTAGTATTAATTAATCGTTATGATCTTCTAGAACAATAATATTGACAATAGAATATTTACTTTTCAGTAAATTAATATGAACAACATTACATTACATTACATGGTTGGACGTTTCATAATCATATCCAAAAGAAAACAAATCGTTTATTTGGCTAAAGCAAAAGAAGTAATGATTTCTTGATGGGCTCTTCTCTTTGCCTTAAATGGTCTTGACAAACGCAGCAAAACGTTCCAATCCTCCACGAATAAGCTTCTCCATAAACGGTTTCATTGCCTGAATATTTTCAAAACATAAATCAGTACTGATCATACAAGAAATACATTAACAGGGGGATAAATATGTAGATTAGGCTTACAAATGCAACTGGAGCAAAAGCATGTGGAACTTCAAATGAAAAATTAATCTACAAAAAATGTATAAAACAATTTAATTTTATGCCAGTGAAAGTGAGAAACAATGACAAGATACTACTAGTACTAACCTCTACTAAGCACGAGGCAGGACCTTTTGGGAAAAATCGAACACTGCCTCTGTTTTATAGATACAGACAAATATTGAGTTTTCACCAGAAGTTGAATTCGAGGATCGAGCAATCTGTCTTTCTAAACCAAAGTTCTTGAGTTTACCTATTTTCAAAGCCTTCTATAGATCTCCAATGTAGCTTTCTATCTGGAATTGGCTGTTGAGAGCATACAAAGATCCAATAAAACGTTTAAATCTAATTAACAAAGAAGAAAAGTATCTGATTGGTTGATTTTGATATAATACAGAATTTACCTGTAAATTTTTTGCGAGAAAATAGTATTCAATATTTTGTCCAAAAGACTCGAGTTTTACCAAGTAACGCGATAGGTCTGGACTACCCTCCATAGCCTAGCAGGACAAGAAAAAGATTTGTGAGCAAGAATGAAATCTTATAGGGCTCTCTGTTTTCAGAGTTATGTTACAAAATACCTCAACAGATGACAAAAACGGCATCCACTTTGGGAACGATTCACGATCTGCGTATAACTTGTAAGCCACGGCAGCTGGTGCATCCACTTCCATCTTTACCCTGCTTAACCCACACCAAAAGAATCTCTCTGAAAATCATAATACTTTATGGATATATATAAACTTTATGGTACAGTTTCGTTGTCTGAAGAAATTTACGTGACGTCTTGCCATTGCATAACGGGTCTGAAGGATTTAGGAGAAGAAGAAACTACGGAACCATCGTTAGAGTTGAGTAGTTTTGCAGAATTAGCTGATGAAAAACAAGATAACGATGATAACATTCGCAGAGAAGAGGAAGAAGAAGCTGATCGATCAAACTGTACTGAAAAAGTTGCAGACTTGGGTGATTTTCTGAAACAAACGGCGGATTTTGTTGTTGGAGCTGTACCAGAAGCTATTGATGACATTTCTTTGATTTCTCTTGAGAGGAATAGATTTAGAGTTAATCAAAAATGAGTATTCATAGATTTTAAGAGATAATTCTGTTTTCCAAAGTGACAAATTAGGAACAGAGACTTTTCAAGGACCATTATCTTTAATGTTATTACACTCCACGCAAAGTGTGTTGTCGTGTTTAGACAAATAAGCTGAAAATTGGAAAGAGAAAAGCTCTCTTTGCCGCGACTTTGTTTCTTGTTTGGTTTGTTTTGTTCTGTTTTTTTATAGATTTCACTCAATCAAAGCCAATATCTCTGGTTAGTTTCTTGGTGACCTAAACCAGAATTTGTATAATTATTGGAGAAAAAAAGATTGTTACTTTAATCATACAAAAGTATCAGCAGAGAAGCTTTAATCATGTGATTTGGTAGAGTTTCCAGATCATATATGTATGTACCAAGAGAAAGATGCATAACGATTCCTGCAAATGCAAAGAGTTGTTTTTTTCAGCTAGTGAATTTATTTTCAGACTTTTTCAATGGATAAAGAACATAAAGGGAGCTGACCTTTTTAAGTTGTTTTGGCCATGGTTGCAAATCTTTCAAGTCCACCTCTAAGCAAGCTTTCCAAAAAAGGCCGCAGCGCCTGATCTCGGGAACATTAAGGTAATAAGAAAAACAATATGTAACACTCAGCCTCACATAGAGATTTTAAGGTAAGAGGTTTCTCACCGATGCCACGGGGGTCAATAACGCAGGGACTTCATATGATACGGTTAGCTAAAAGATAGGAGAACAAAAGGCAAAAAAAGGAAAAAAAAACATGAGAGAATTATTCTACTAGTATATGATGGAGATGATGTGTAATAAAAATGGAGTGTTCTTTACTTCTACGATGCATGATGAAGGACCTTTAGGGAAGAACCGAACACTGCCTCTGCATTCGATTAAATTCAAACGTCAAGCTCAATTAGATAAGAGAAAGCTAAACAATTGAGAATATATATATATATATGATCTCTTTGCTTACTTATTAGGAAGACCTTCAAGAGATCTCCAATGAATCTTCTGGTTAGGAGTAGGCTGCAACAAGCAAAAACAAAATAGGCCAATAGTTTTACACAAAATTGTTGAAAGAAACACAGAAGCATTGATCGGATTGTGTAATGCAAAATTTCATTCTTGCCTGTAGATTCCGAGCAAGCCAAGAATACTTGATGTCTTGACCAAAAGCATTGTACTTGAGTGACCAACGTGACAGATCAGGCTTACCCTTTAACACCTAACACCAGAGAACACTAATTAAACCAAGTTAAAATCTAAAAGCAAGAACCTCTTTTTCTGAAGATCGAAACTTTATAAGTTGATGAGAGATATAAAGATGAAATCATAAAACTACCTCTACAGACGAAATAAAAGGCATCCACTTAGGAAACGATTCACGATCCAAGTAGAAATTATAAGCTACGGATACTGGAACATCTACTTCCATCTTCACTCTGATTCAAAAAAAAAAACAAAAAACAAAACTTGATATCAGATTCATCTAAATTTCAAAGCAGAGAAGGGAATAAAAGAGAGATTTTTTTTACGAGCAGTCTTGCCACTCCACTGAAACAGAGAATCGTCGCTTAGGAAGAATGAATCTGGATCTGCGACTAACGGAGGAAGAGTAAGAGAAGCCATTTAGGTTTTTTGGAAGCAGAGGAATGAGAGAATATGAAAAGGGTTTACGATCGAAGCAGATGGGTGATTGGAGATTTGGAAGTTTACAGGTCGTGGAGGACAAGTGATTGATCGTGTTCATGTTAGTTGCTACTGCTACAGACATCGAAGCTTCTGCTCTCAGTTTTGCCCCTTGTCTGTGAAGGATAAGACTTCAAAACCTTCACAGCCACACAACAACTACAACAAAACTGATTATTTGGTGTCAGAGATTTGCTCTGTTACTCGTCCTTTCACAATCTTTGGTAATATAATAAAATAAAGCTAATTAATTATACAGTTTAATATAAGAAATAAACAAAAGCGGGGATAGCTCAGTTGGGAGAGCGTCAGACTGAAGATCTGAAGGTCGCGTGTTCGATCCACGCTCACCGCATTTTTCGAACTTTTTATTTCTCTGATTTAGTCTAAGCCCAATGGGCTCTTCTCCTCTTTTCAAATATGAGCCAATTTAGAGTGTTTTAGGAAGCCTGTTACCGTGCCAATTTGTGCTGTATAACTCAAAAATATGCGACACTTTTAGACACACCCAAATAAAAAGAACTAATTCGAAGAAAACTACAGTTAAAGACGAAGTATGGGTTTTGCTTACATACAGAGATTTTTAATATTTAAGACTTATTTATAAAAAAAATTTTAAGAGATTTTAAACTTTTTGATTAAAAAATGATAAATTACAAAAATTGTGATATGGTAGAGAAAATGACTGTTTGGGGTGAGGTATGTGTATGACTGTATGTCATAATCATCCACCAAACCTTGAAGCTAGTATATAAAATTTTATTAATCAGCCGTTAAACATGATAATCCAACGGTCAGCATTTAATCTCACCAATAATCATGATATATTTTAGTTGGTCAACAACACCAAGAACCGCAATTAAAAGTCTAAAATTTTCACCTACCACGAATCTTGTAAAGCATGAAAGAGTGCGTGTGTGTGTGTGTCCATCCATTTGCATGCGTGTGAGTAAATGAGTCATGCCATTTTTTAATTACGTAATTAAAATATTAACTATTCTGTTTCTATAGTTGCATTGAAAACGTGATCATGTCATGGAGTCACACTGAATATTTTAAAATTTTCTAATTGTTTCTCCCAATCACAGACACATGAGAATAATGCCAAAGGAAAGAAGTAAATAATGGTAGGCCACAAAGCCTTTGAAAAGTATTTTTTAAAGTCCAAGTAGGGAACTTAACCAAGTAAACCGGTAGAACAGTCACTAGAAAAGGCTTATAAATAAAGAAAGCAGCGTCTTCTGTCTCCACTTACTCGTCCCAAGCCGTTTCTTCTCTTTTTTAACACTTGTTCTCTAATAACACAACAAAGGCAAAAGGCTCGAGCGACAGAGATAGATAGAGATCTGAGAAGAAGTCTTTTATCTTTGAGATCCAAACTCTCGTTGACAAAGGTATATTTTTCTTCATCTTCGCTTCTCATTTCTCTCTCGATTTCTCTCGTTTGAGTTTAAGTACGAAATGAGTTAAATCCATGATTGAGTATCTATGATTTTAAAATTAGATTTTCGATACTCTTGAACCATTTTGTAATTGGATCTGCTACGATTTCATTTGAGATTTTCAATTTTTTTACATCAGCTGTGTTGCCATGATTTGTATGGCATGAAGGATTTTTAGATTTTTTCATTCTTTCATGTGAGAGTCTAGCTTGAATGCTTCATAAGCTTTTAATCAATGAGTAGAGCATAATAAGTGTATTACTAAGGATAAGGCTCAACCTGAAGATTCTTTTGTGATAATCGAATTTTTTTTTTAGCTATATTGCCACTTGACTTGATAATTCTTCTGAAATCCGATTCTTTTAGGATATAGAATCTAAGAAAAGCATTTCAGGATATGGTGTGACATTATGCTTTTTAGATTGCATGATGCTTCTTTCATGATTCTTCTATGGCTATTGGCTAAGTCAGTTTCTTGATTCTGTTTTTATTCTTTTGTAGCAAAATGGAGACTTTCCTATTCACATCCGAGTCTGTGAACGAGGGACACCCTGACAAGCTCTGTGACCAGATCTCTGATGCCGTCCTCGATGCCTGCCTTGAACAAGACCCAGACAGCAAAGTTGCTTGCGAGACTTGTTCCAAGACCAACATGGTCATGGTCTTTGGCGAGATCACCACCAAGGCCAAAGTTGACTACGAGAAGATTGTCCGTGACACCTGTCGCGCCATTGGATTTGTCTCTGATGATGTCGGTCTTGATGCTGACAACTGCAAAGTTCTTGTCAACATTGAACAACAGAGCCCTGACATTGCCCAAGGAGTTCACGGTCACTTCACCAAACGTCCAGAAGACATTGGAGCCGGTGACCAAGGCCACATGTTTGGTTATGCCACTGATGAAACCCCTGAGTTAATGCCACTTAGTCATGTTCTTGCCACCAAGCTCGGTGCTCGCCTTACAGAAGTCAGAAAGAATGGTACTTGCGCCTGGCTAAGACCTGATGGCAAAACACAAGTCACTGTTGAGTACTACAACGATAAGGGTGCCATGGTTCCAATCCGTGTCCACACAGTCCTCATCTCAACCCAACACGATGAAACTGTGACCAACGACGAAATCGCCCGTGACCTGAAGGAACATGTCATCAAGCCAGTCATCCCAGACAAGTACCTAGACGAGAAAACCATCTTCCACTTGAACCCATCAGGCCGATTCGTCATTGGTGGACCCCATGGAGACGCTGGTCTCACCGGGCGCAAGATCATCATTGACACTTACGGTGGATGGGGAGCTCACGGAGGTGGTGCTTTCTCAGGCAAAGACCCAACCAAGGTCGACAGAAGCGGAGCCTACATTGTGAGACAAGCAGCTAAGAGCGTTGTGGCTAACGGAATGGCTCGTAGGGCACTTGTTCAAGTCTCATACGCCATTGGAGTCCCTGAGCCATTGTCTGTCTTTGTTGACACTTACGAGACTGGGTTGATTCCAGACAAAGAGATACTGAAGATTGTGAAGGAGAGCTTCGATTTCAGACCGGGAATGATGACGATTAACCTTGACCTGAAGAGAGGAGGAAACGGAAGGTTCTTGAAAACTGCAGCATACGGACACTTCGGAAGGGACGACCCTGACTTCACCTGGGAAGTAGTCAAGCCACTCAAGTGGGACAAACCTCAAGCTTAACTTTTACTACTCTGTTTCTATTTTCATCCCGCAAACCAATTATCCACTCTGTTTTTGTGTGTTTGCTTATGTATACTTTTTATTTGAGCTATTGAAATTTGGTGTTTGTTTTTGTTCCATGGGTTGCACTAAGTTTTATGTGATTCGTATATTGATTATACATAGTTTTATGTATGTCATCTTGTGTTTGTAATATTATACTTATGACTTATTAGTCATCTTGAACTAACTTTTATGAACTAACTAAATTATTTTCATATAGTTAGCTCTGTTTTTTACCAACTGCCAAAAAATGCACACAAAAGTACAGAAAAGAACACCATGTGTAACTATTTAACAAAAGAACACCACATATGTAACGATTTAACACTAGTTTGACTTCAAAGAGTAAGTAACAAAGACACCAATAAGATCAAGTAACCTTTCTATTCAATATTCATCATAATATTTTCTTCTATATATGTCAAAACAGAGTATCATCATCATCATTTCATGATTCGTCTATACATGTTATACTAAAAACCAAAAATATGAAAACTAATCATTTACATCTCTAGATTTTCATCATTTAGTTAACAGGCAAGAGTTGGGGCGATGTGATCTATGGCAAAATGTCACGATCCGCTTGATGGCACTTTATCGCGATTCTCGAACTCGCTTACGATCATCTTTATGTCATCCTCACTAACCTTCCCACTCTCTTTAAGCTTGGACACAATAAACTCTGATTCACTAATCACAAAACCAAAACACAAGTCAGTACTCAGAATAAAACCACTAACTTAATGACTGTAGTAATAAAACAGAATCTTCACCTGGTGGGCAGTTTCATGACAGTAGTACGATCGACTTTCATCTCAGCCAAGTAAACAAACAAACTTGCCATAGCAATAGCTGAAAGAAGAAGCCAAAACACTGCGAAGAACCTTCCTTCAACCGTCTTAAACGCTTTATCCCCATAACCAACCGTAGAAACCGAGATAACCGACAAGTAAAACGAATCCAACCAACCCAATCGCTCGAAAACGTGAAGAAACAAAGTTCCAGAGGCGACGCAGAGGAAGACGACGCAGAACGCTAAACAAAGTTTCCACTTTAACCTTATCCTACCATCCTCGGCAATGTGATCTCTAATGGCTCTGTTTCCAGTCTTGATACGATCAAGAATGGCGTTTTCTTGGAGGCTGAGAACGTGATTGACGACGCGGTTGAGCAAGAAATCGAGACACACGACGCCGAGTGAAACCAAAACGATGGTCAAGATCTTGGTCGTGGGAGTGGACGGGACAATGTCGCCGTAACCGACAGTGCACAAAGTGACGACGGAGAAGTAGAAAGCGTCAACCCAGAGATAGGTCTCGGTTCCAGAGAACTGGTCTCGAAAAAAAGAATACGTGAAAACCCCCAAGGTTAAGTAGACAGAGAGGAGGATCAGCGCTAGAACAAGAAGGGTCCATTTCGATTTCGATACAGCGGCGGCTGGTGAGGTTTCGACGGGACGGAGAAGGTTCTCATCGAGAAGGGTCTCTTCTTCCATTTATAGAAACCTTTACTTCTTCTTCTTCTTCTTCTTCGTCTTCTTGGTCACTTCTGACGTGATTATCAAATTTCTCTTTTAAAAATAAGTTCATGATCTTTACGTTGCTTTTCAATACATTTTCTGGGGTTTTTTGGACCGATATGCCACGTAGGGAACATAGAAACCGAGATTAGCCACGTGTGTAATTATCGTATTTGATTTACACAATTTAGATATTGGGTTTAAAAAGGCCCATAAAGGGCCCAATAGAAATTGTAAAAATGTTGAAGTCCAAGACTATGTAGCATTGGAGTTAGGGATGATGAAAGCTGAAAAGATGTACAATTAATTAAATAATTAAAGGATATGCTAAACATAGAATTAAATGCAAATAGCATCTCACCGTACAATTGATGACAGTTAGTTAACAGTTTTGACACAAAAGAAATCTCTCTCTCTCTCTCTCTATCGCCGCGAGGAATTGGGGAAATTTAAGCAAAGTGGCCCCGCATGACTAATCTCCCAACGGATATAATAATAATTAAAAAAGTTTATATAAGTTTTTTGGAATTTTTGATTAGAATGATGGTTTAATCTTCTTCATTCATGTGTGTCATGTGTGATGGGTTCGTATCATGACGCAAGTAGTGACGCTTTTTTTTGCTTCCTCTTCTTTTCTCTAGACTTTTATTTTTAGAGTTTTCCAAATACAATTTCGATTCTGTTTATGATTATTACACACCTAAACTAAATTGAGATTTTTTCTTAGCTTGCACTTAAGGTAATGGTCCAAGTTGCAACGTTTTTCTATAGGCTAGAATTCGAATTTTCTTGACATGTAACTGTTTTTTTTGTTTGCAGTTATAGGAACAAAGCATTGATAGTTAACCAGTTCACAGTCTATTTGTGCTTGTCGTATAAGGAGTAGTTAGCATAATTTGTTCTTAACTTTATTTATGATGGTTGGTTTGGTATTATTATCATCAATTTCAAGTATATTATTTTATAATAATTGGACTATCATGTGTTCCTTATTAGAGAAGACAACATAATAAAGGGACCGAATGATAATTATATACGGGTCAAAGTTCATTACTGTAGTATGCTAATCTCATTTAGTGCGAGAACATTAATAATACTAGTTAAGTATTGTGTATTAAATCTCATTACGATGAAAGCCTTCGCGGCCAAGAATATGAAATGTCATCATTATTCATTTTCAAGGTGTGAAAAGTATACGTTTTACTGCAATATATTAAGTTGACTTTTTTGCTTAGTTGCCAAGGAATTTAGTCAACTTAACGTTAAAAGTGAGAATTCTCTGTTAAAAGTTGTTTAAATTATCTTCACTGACTTGTCTTCATCTACCGTTTGTTATTACTTTATTAGTATTATTGCACACACTTATATAATTAATCAAACGACATTATTCAAGATGCAAGTATTTGATCATATTGTACATTATTAAGAATATAGTTAACCTCCCTCTCTTTCTTTAGTTGTTTTTACTAGTAAAACTACATTACCTGATATGAAATTCTTGAATATTAGCATGTTAATTGTTGGGAAAAAGACAAACCAACCACACAGTTCTCTTTGGTTAGTTTTATCTTACCTAACAGTTGGTATAAATGAAAAGTAAAAGTATATAAAACATGAAAATTTGGAGAAGAAGATATATGAGTATATAATTATTATGCTTTTTGACCAACACACAGTAGTTTATTCCCCCACTCTCCTTGCTTCTCAAGCAATTTTCGCATAACCCAAAACTATTGAGTTGCATATAAAAAAGGAAGGCAAATTTCTCATATATTATCTCAGCAGATACAAAATAAACTGGAATCTAGAAAGTGGAATAAAGTAATTAAACAAAGATTAAACAAGTTTCAAGACAACAACAACACAGCTTCGCTCACGTCTGTCTTATTCCCCCAAAGTTTCAAATCTTTTACGCTTTTTCGTAGCTTCTCACCACATCTGCTTTCAGGTATGTTCTCTTTCAACTTCTCTCTCTTTTTAAATCTCTGATTGGGTTTTCCTTTTTATTTTTGTTTCTTTTAATTTGATCTCTGGTTTTGCGGGTTAAGCCAAAAGCATGTGACTTTTTTTTTCCCTTAACAGACTCTGTTTCATTGGTGATAATTTCTGGGAACTCTTTTAGATTGAAAGTGAAAAAAGGACTTTTATTCACGAGTGGGTTATTTTCTTTTGGATTTACATTAGCAAACTCTAAGTTTTCTCGAACAGAGTTCAATTGAAAAGTTTCCTTAAATTCTTCTAAGTTTTCGTCTTTTTCTGGGTTTAAGGAATATGAGTTAAAGACGAAGAAAGTTCGTAACTTTATACTTCTTTATAATTATATACCTGTTGATCTCGATCTGGGTATCATCAGATTTCTTAAAAACTCTCTGATACGTGTATAGCAGCGCCGGAGATGAACCGTGACGGCGCCGGAGAAGGGGACTCTGTTTCACACGAACCTTCAACTTCGAAAAGTCCTAAAGAAGGAGAAGAAGAAGAGACTAAGAAAGAAAAAAACGATGAAAAGACCAAGACAGTTCCTTTCTACAAGCTATTTGCGTTTGCAGATTCAGTTGATGTGTTCTTGATGATCTGCGGCTCAATCGGAGCTATTGGTAATGGTGTTTGTTTACCTCTCATGACATTGTTGTTCGGTGATCTCATTGATTCGTTCGGAAAGAATCAGAATAGCGAAGACATTGTTGATGTTGTCTCAAAGGTATGTATATAATGTTGGTAAACGAAATATTAAAAACCTTTTGACTTTTTTTTTGTATTGTATTCTTTAGATCACATTATACTAATAATGTTTCTTTTTATAGGTTTGTCTTAAATTCGTTTACCTTGGACTTGGAACACTAGGAGCTGCGTTTCTTCGTAAGTCATTACCCTCGTGTTTCTCCTTTGCAATATTACCAAAGGATTTGTGAATCTAGGATGTAAATTTTTGGTGTTTTTGTTGTTGTAGAGGTGGCTTGTTGGATGATCACAGGAGAAAGACAAGCGGCGAGGATCAGAAGTACATATCTGAAAACTATCCTTAGACAAGACATTGGATTCTTCGATGTCGAAACAAACACAGGAGAGGTTGTTGGTAGAATGTCTGGAGATACTGTTCTTATACAAGATGCCATGGGTGAGAAGGTAACAGGAACAAATAATACAGAAACTTGTATATTGTGGTTTCAGGCTTATATATAATGACTGGATTCATTTAAAAGTTTGTTACTTTTCTTGATCTTGCAGGTTGGGAAGTTCATTCAGCTGATATCTACTTTCGTGGGAGGATTTGTTTTAGCTTTCATTAAAGGATGGTTACTAACATTGGTTATGTTAACTTCGATTCCTCTTCTTGCCATGGCTGGTGCTGCCATGGCACTTATAGTCACTCGAGCTTCTTCTAGGGGACAAGCTGCTTATGCAAAAGCAGCAACTGTTGTTGAACAGACAATTGGGTCTATCAGAACGGTAAAACTCAATCTTCCTAAGCTACAAAACAAACTTTAACTGAGAATTTGTTGCTTAATTTTTTGTTTTGTTTTGGTTTGAAGGTTGCTTCTTTTACTGGAGAGAAGCAAGCTATTAACAGCTACAAGAAGTTTATAACCTCGGCGTATAAATCAAGCATTCAACAAGGTTTCTCCACCGGTTTAGGACTTGGAATAATGTTCTTTGTGTTTTTTAGCAGCTATGCTTTGGCTATTTGGTTTGGTGGGAAGATGATAATTGAAAAAGGGTATACCGGTGGCGCTGTGATCAACGTGATCATCATTGTGGTTGCGGGTTCAATGTAAGCTTTCTATACAATCACTTCCATTTATATTTTAGATATTGTCTTTTTTTTACTTATAGATGTGAGGTTTCTAACAGTTATCTTGTATTTTCTTTCTTGTTTAGGTCGCTTGGGCAAACATCTCCATGTGTAACCGCATTTGCCGCGGGTCAAGCTGCAGCATATAAGATGTTTGAGACGATCAAAAGAAAGCCTTTGATTGATGCTTACGACGTAAATGGAAAGGTTCCTGAAGATATCCGAGGAGACATTGAACTTAAAGATGTGCATTTCAGCTACCCGGCGAGGCCAGACGAGGATATATTCCACGGATTCTCTCTGTTTATCCCGAGCGGTGCAACAGCAGCACTAGTAGGAGAAAGTGGAAGTGGAAAATCTACCGTGATCAGTTTGATTGAGAGGTTTTATGATCCGAAAGCCGGAGAGGTACTCATTGATGGAGTTAATCTTAAAGAGTTTCAGTTGAAATGGATCAGAAGCAAAATCGGATTGGTCAGCCAAGAACCAGTTCTGTTTACATCGAGCATCATGGAGAATATCGCCTACGGGAAAGAAAATGCGACGCTTCAAGAGATTAAAGCAGCAACCGAGCTAGCAAATGCGGCAAAGTTTATAGATAAGTTACCTCAAGGGTTGGATACAATGGTAGGAGAGCACGGGACGCAGCTCTCGGGAGGACAGAAACAGAGGATAGCGATTGCGAGAGCTATTCTTAAAGATCCGCGGATTTTGCTGCTGGATGAAGCAACAAGCGCGCTCGATGCAGAATCTGAAAGAGTGGTTCAAGAGGCTTTAGATAGAGTGATGGTTAACCGGACTACGGTAATTGTCGCGCATAGGTTAAGCACGGTCAGAAATGCTGATATGATTGCGGTAATTCACCGCGGGAAAATGGTGGAAAAAGGTTCGCACTCCGAGCTGTTAAAAGACTTCGAGGGAGCTTATTCGCAGCTCATTCGGTTACAAGAGATAAACAAGGGCCAAGATGCAAAACCATCAGATATATCTTCCGGATCGTCTTTCCGGAATTCGAACTTGAAAAAATCAATGGAGGGATCTGTTATTAGTGGCGGGAACTCGTCGGTTGGAAATAGCAGCCGTCATCATTCTTTGAATGTTCTTGGTTTATCTGCAGGACTAGACCTTGGTAACACCAGCCAACGAGTAGTAGGCCATGAGGAAACGGGAACAGCGGGTCAAGAACCACCCCCAAAAGTATCACTTTCCCGAATCGCAGCTTTAAACAAACCTGAGATCCCGGTTCTCCTTCTAGGAACCGTTGCAGCGGCAATCAATGGCACGATTTTCCCGCTTTTTGGGATTTTGATTTCAAGAGTCATCGAAGCGTTCTTCAAACCAGCTGACCAGTTAAAGAAAGATTCAAGATTCTGGGCGATCATATATGTAGCTCTTGGAGTAACCTCGTTGATCGTCTCACCGACTCAAATGTATCTGTTTGCAGTAGCTGGAGGAAAACTGATTCAGCGAATTCGATCAATGTGTTTTGAGAAAGCGGTTCACATGGAAGTTAGCTGGTTCGATGAGCCACAGAACTCGAGTGGTACCATGGGTGCAAGGCTATCTGCTGATGCAGCTTTGATTAGGGCTCTAGTTGGAGATGCATTATCTCTAGCTGTTCAAAACGCTGCATCTGCTGCTTCTGGATTGATTATTGCTTTCACTGCGAGTTGGGAATTGGCGCTTATAATCTTGGTGATGCTTCCACTTATTGGTATCAATGGTTTTGTTCAAGTCAAGTTCATGAAAGGATTCAGCGCTGACGCCAAGGTTTGTACATCAATTAGTTTGGTTCCATTTCTTTTTGGTAGAGTTTGACTCTGTATAAATCCTCTGTTTTTTTTTTCTTGTGGATAAAGAAACTTACTCTGGTTTTGAATAACTTTGCAGTCAAAGTACGAGGAGGCGAGTCAGGTAGCAAATGATGCTGTGGGTAGTATAAGAACTGTTGCGTCTTTCTGCGCAGAGGAGAAAGTGATGCAGATGTATAAGAAGCAATGCGAAGGTCCGATTAAAGACGGAATAAAGCAAGGTTTCATCAGTGGATTAGGGTTTGGATTCTCCTTTTTTATTCTGTTCTGTGTCTACGCGACAAGCTTTTACGCTGGAGCTAGATTGGTTGAGGACGGCAAGATTACTTTCAATGATGTTTTCCAGGTAAAGTATTTTCTAATCATTTCTCATATATGTTTGAAATTCTTTGTGACCTAGTAATGAAGAAGAATGGATTGGATCTTGCAGGTGTTCTTTGCGTTGACAATGGCAGCGATTGGTGTCTCCCAGTCGAGTTCTTTAGCTCCAGATTCGAGCAAAGCCAAAGTTGCAGCTGCTTCGATCTTTGCAATCATCGATAGAAAATCAAAGATAGACTCGAGCGATGAGTCAGGTACAGTGTTGGAGAATGTTAAGGGAGATATTGAGCTTCGTCACTTAAGGTTCACTTATCCAGCAAGACCAGACATTCAAATCTTCCGCGATCTTTGCTTAACCATTCGTGCAGGAAAGGTAAACAATTTAATGGACTAAACCCCAAACTATCTATTAGGAAGTTCTAGTCACTAAAGTTTCTGATCAGTTTATGTATCTTTTTGTTTTTCTTTCAGACGGTTGCTTTGGTAGGAGAAAGCGGGTCGGGAAAATCTACTGTGATCTCGCTATTACAAAGATTTTACGATCCTGATTCCGGTCATATAACCCTAGATGGAGTTGAGCTGAAGAAGCTACAGTTGAAATGGTTGAGACAACAAATGGGACTTGTGGGACAAGAACCTGTCTTGTTCAACGACACGATTAGGGCCAACATTGCTTATGGAAAAGGAAGCGAGAACGCTGCAACAGAGTCTGAGATCATAGCAGCTGCAGAACTCGCCAATGCACACAAATTCATCTCTAGCATACAACAGGTAAGGGAAAGAAAAAAACAGAACGAATTTGTAAGAAGTCTGCTTTTTTTCCGTGATTTACTTATATCACAAGCAATACAATTTTTTTTAGGGTTACGACACAGTGGTGGGAGAGAGAGGGATTCAATTATCAGGAGGACAAAAACAGCGCGTGGCTATAGCACGTGCCATCGTGAAAGAGCCGAAGATACTGCTTTTGGACGAAGCAACGAGCGCTCTTGATGCGGAATCAGAGCGCGTGGTCCAAGATGCGCTTGACCGAGTGATGGTGAACCGAACCACGATCGTCGTGGCTCACCGGTTATCAACAATTAAAAACGCTGACGTCATCGCCGTCGTTAAGAACGGTGTGATCGCTGAGAAAGGTACTCACGAGACGTTGATCAAAATCGACGGTGGTGTTTATGCTTCGCTAGTTCAGCTTCACATGACTGCTTCAAATTAAGATGCGTTTTGATCTTTGATGATATATTTTTGGTTTATGAGAGCTAAAAACTTCAGAGTTTTGGTTTCAGTCACAAATCTAGGCCTATGTATTAAAAGGTTTTGTATTTATTTTCCGTAACATATATTTTTGTTGTTGTTGTTGTTGTTTTATACAAGTTTATGAAGCTGTCACTAGTTATTTTTGATTTTCTTCTTTCTAAAGTTTGTATTTATATAATTAACGGATTTCGACTTTGACGAGAATAGTCTTTTTTTCTTCAATCTTCTTAACCTACGATGTTGAACGGAATTGACTTATTTTGACTTTGCAACAGAGGAAAAAAAACATCTATTTGTAACATTCACTCACTATTATACTTTATTAATTTCAGGTCTTCAGATAAATTCACGCAAAATATGTAAACTGTCACTAGAAATTTAACGAAACAATGTAAAACTGCCAAAAAAAAAAAAAAAAAACTTAAAGAGTTCATCGTCACCACAATAATTAATGAGCACTCAGCATTGCTTTCTTCTTTTTCCACAGTTTGCACCAAAACCAGGCGACATTTGATTAGCTCTTTTTGCGACAGGTGGCTCTTGCGTCTCATATCCAAGAGTATTGAATAGGAGCCCAAAAGGATTGTTGTTGGTCATCGTGTTGTCCCATGGAGACATCTGTTGATCCCCTGCGAAATATGAATCTTGAAAGTAGCGGTTGCTCTGCATCTCTTCAGTCATCCTCTCTTGTTCCCGTTGTTGAGTGACGCTTCCTAGGCCAACACTTTCACCTTCCATGATTACATGCGGTTTCCCTGAATCTTGAACTTGCGCAGGAAGAGGAATATGGGAATGTTGCTGTTGAATGGCCCTATCATCATCTTCATCTTCTTTTTTATCCAGTTTATTTCCGAGCTCTTCTGCACATACCTCAGTGTCTTGATCCACTGTGGATCTAAAATCTTGACCTCCAAGAGGAAGGATTGAGTCTTGAGGAAGCATCGGTGGTTGTTGTGGATCATAAATGAAATCAAGTTGGTCAATGTCAAACATGAATCTATAATCATCAGCGTCCATGTTTTGTTGTCCAGTCTCCGCATCACATATCTCTCCTCCAACTCCGGTGAGAAAAGCGTGTGAGACCGTATTGTTGTCTAGTGGTGGCTGTTGAACGATGTTGTTATTGGTCTCCGTAGTCTGTAACTGAAACTGGTCCTCCACGTTCTTCTTCACACGGACATTACACAAGAAAACTTCAGCAGCGTTCTCACTCGCTAGCCAATACTCGGTCATACACCAACCGGTGGCCTTTCCTTTTACATGTTTGTAGTACGAGAGTTCCTGTTTATATCCGATCACAACATTGTTAGTGTCCAAGATATTCTCCTTCGAGCCAGACTTCTTCCAAGTCCCGCCGTCACTGCCTCCTCGTCCGGGTACCATACGTAATATTTTGTTATCAGATCCGCATGATCTCTTAACAAAGTAGAACCAGCCCTTCTCAACGAACTGATCGTTTTTGACGTGCGGAAGAAGCCATGGCTCTTGTTCATAAAGCTTTATGTCTTTGATGAAACCGTCTTTGTCCGTGTCTACTCTGTTGCGTAGATAATGCTCCACCAGCTTCAAGTCCGTCGGAAAGAACTTGAGATGGCTAGGATCTACCCTAGCAATTATGTCTCCACGAGGTGCGAAAGCCCTATTAGTACCCGAGTATGAGGACACGTTTTTGACTTGCTTCTTCTTCCCACGGATATAACACAAGACCAATTCTTGAAACTCATCGTTCTTACTCGCTAGCCAATACTCCGTCATACACCAACCGGTCGAGTCTCCTTTTACCTGTCCTTTTACATCTTTGTAGTACGAGAGTTCTGCTTTGTGTCCGATCACAACCTTGTTACGGCCGAGGATGGCTTCCTTGCTACCGCTGGTCGTCCAAGTCCCAACGATGCTGCCTCCTCGCCCCAGCACCTTACGATTAGGTGTTTTACCAGCTTTGAGTGTCCTCTTGACGAAGTAGAACCACTCCTTTTCACCAAACAGATCGTTGTTGACGTGAGGAAGAAGCCATGGTTCGTATTCGTAAAGTTTGATGTCTTTAATAAAACCTTCCTTGCCGGTATCTATTCTCCTGCGTAGATACTGGTCCACCAACGTCATGTCTGATGGAAAGAACTTGAGGTCCCTCGGATCTGCCATAGTAAATCGATCTCCAAGAAACCTAACTTGATCGTATAGTTGTTGTCGTCACCTTTAAGGACTCCACATTACAGTTTAAGTGTTGAAACCCTTGTCCCTTGTAAATCCAGTATATATACAAACACTGACATTTCCAACCTTAATTATAATTTACTTTGATTTTGTTTTGATAAACTTATTTTATTCTTTTCCTTCAAATTTAAGGATTTCGGAGATTAACTATGCATTAAGATATTTTTTCTTTTCCGTAATGTATATGTTTGCCTCTGTTGTTTCGTATAAAAGTTTATGAATTTTGTTTCCTATTTCCCTTTTATTTTTGTTTCAATGTATTTTTTCCACTTCTCCTGATTTACCTTCGTCACCTTTTTTGTTTGACAAAAAATAAACCATTTTAAAGTTATCAACCAATATAAGAATAATTTAAAATTTGCTTAATCAAAATAAAAGATTTTTAGATATCGATTTTAGTTAACATTATTTCCTTTTCCAATATTACAAAGGAGATCATTAGATATTCTACGATTATATGAAAGTTATCATCGATAGCACTAAAAGATTTGTCACGTGCGGAAGAAAATAGTGTGGCTAATCACATCCAAACTTGGTTGGAGATATGGTTTGAATCGTTTGATAGTATAATATTCGATCATCGTTAAGCAGATTAAAAAGCTCTGATAATTGAATGATCTATATTTAGTTGTTTAATTACCAAAATGATAAAATATATTAACAAGTAACAACATTATTAACTGGCAACGTAAACCATCTATGAACTAGTTGGGTGTAAAATAAAAACTGATTTTTTTTCTATAAACTAGATAACAAATATTACTCTAAAATTAGTGTTTATAAACAAAACAATTTGTTCTAAATCTTCATTCTTAATAAGTAATAACCTCTCTCTTCAGCATTTTGAGGAAAAAAGCAAAAAAAAAAAAAAAGATGAAGAAGTCATCACCATTGCTCTGTTTCTCTCTTGCTCTGTTTTCTCTTCTCTCATCACCTTCCTCCTCCGCTCGTATCTTCTCCTCCGTTGTCCCCGCCGCAGCTCCTTCTCCTGCCGTAGCCACGACCACCTATGGCGGCGTAGACGAAATATCTGACTCCGATTTCTCCGTCTTCACGCAATGGAACATTTTGGACCTAACCGACCTCAAAAACACCTTAAAAAACCTCCCAGATCTCTCTAACCTCAACATCTCCTCCCTCCACGTGTCACCCGCCATTGACTCCATCTGCTCCGGCACAGACTACGCCGCCGAATGCGTCGTCTCAATCCTCCCACTCCTACGTGACTTCCGCAAATTCGAGCCAAAACCCATCGACGTGCTTCGAATGGAGATGAGCGCGCTCTACGAGAAAGCTAACACCACGCTAGACTTAGCCAAGCTTCTCATCGCTGACCAGTCAACGCCGCGTGACGTGGCGGATGTCTTGGACTTGTGTGTCGACAACTACGAGTCGCTCCTTGATGATCTTAAAGATGCTTCCGTAGCCGTCGACGATGGAGACTTTGGACGGCTAGAGAGTGTGGTGAGTGCTGCGATAGCTGATGTGGTGACTTGCACCGACGCGTTTACTGAGTCGCCGGAGCTTGAGTCGCCGATGGCTAATGTTGATGCTTTTCTTAAGAAACTTTGTAGCAACGTTTTGGCTATTTCTCAGATGATCTACATGTAATACTGCCTACGTATAGATATCAAAGATATAAATGCGAAGTATTGACTTTAAATTATACAAAATCAGATTACTACATGTATGGTATTAAAAGGTATTTAAACCAACCAAATATCTGGTTTAAAACTTTAAATTATACAAAATCAGATTACTATTTAACCAGACTAAAAAAACCTTCAACATTATTATTGTTATTTATTTTAATTTTGATAAAAGTTAAAAACTAAAAGAAAGCCTTAAGGCCCAGTAATGGTCTACCCAAAGCCCATTGGAACAGATATTTCTTGGTTGACAAACTATAACGTAACAATCGCGTTAGCGTGTAATATTATCGGACCTAAAATTGACTCGCCCCATCCAAACTTAAGGGATTAAAACCCGACCCGATAACACCACCAGATATCACCATTCGTCAGTTTAGTTACTTCGAAGAAGCAAAAGAACCAAAATCCCCAAATTTGCAGAAGGATAAGAGCCGGAAGGTTCCTCGCCGGTGAACTGAGCTAGGGTTTCAATTCATCCCCCAAATTGACAACAAGAAATGGCTCATGCTTGCGTTTCTACATCGGCTTCTTCTCTCAGATTCGCAACTGGATTCGTCTCCGCTAGTCCCAATGGTTCCTCTTTCGATTCTCCCAAGCTTTCTCTCCCTTTCGAGCCCCTTCGTTCAAGGTTTCTGCCACTTTCACTGTGATTTCTCTCGAAACTACGGAATCTTTAGGTTAATGTTAGGGGAACTGAACGAGTTTTGTTTGCTGCAGGAAGACGAAGAAGTTAGTTAGCGACAGGAAGAATTCAACTCCGAAAGCTGTATATTCCGGAAATATCTGGACACCGGAGACTCCCTCTCCTCAAGGAGTTTGGTCCATGAGGTGAAACTTTGAGTTTGACGATGTTCTTGAACTGTTTGATTTTGAACTCTTTTGACGGTTAACATATGGAGATTTTTACTTTGCAGAGATGATTTACAAGTTCCTTCGTCACCGTATTTTCCTGTGTATGCTCAAGGACAAGGACCACCTCCCATGGTGCAAGAGCGTTTCCAGAGTATCATTAGTCAGCTCTTCCAATATGTAAACTGATCAACTCTACTCTTTGTTTAAGATTTTTTTATTAAAGTTTACAGCTTAGTTTTCTTGTCAATGAATGAATTCTTTTGTTTGATCGTTTAGAGGATTATTCGCTGTGGTGGTGCTGTGGATGATGATATGGCAAACATAATTGTAGCTCAGCTTCTGTACCTTGATGCTGTTGATCCTACTAAGGTTAGATTTCTAGAATTCAACTTCGTGTCTTGTTACTTGATTCATATATTTTTCCTTGGGATTCTGATAGTGCTTATGTTGAACAGGATATTGTCATGTATGTTAATTCTCCTGGTGGATCAGTTACAGCTGGTAATAACAACTTTGTCAGCTTTCTCTTTTCCCTATGATCTCTTTTAGTGTTTCCTTCTTTCATCGTTTACATTCCAGGTTTCATTGTTCTCACTTTCCTCAGGAATGGCTATCTTCGATACTATGAGGCATATCCGGCCTGATGTCTCCACTGTTTGTGTCGGTCTAGCTGCTAGGTGAAACCTTCATCATCCTTTAGATCTCATTATTTCTTGGTTTTCTTATGGTCGTTGGTAAATGTGGAGTTGTATGGATTGTAATGCCCTCCTTTCTTCTGTGTTGGTGTTTTATGAACAGTATGGGAGCTTTTCTGCTGAGTGCTGGAACCAAAGGTATTCCCTTAATCCTTTCATTCATAGTAAAATCATATAGGTAAGTCTTCAGTGTCTTGATGTGAGCTTAACTCTATCCTTAAAACCGCAGGGAAAAGATACAGTCTACCCAACTCAAGGATAATGATCCATCAGCCGCTTGGTGGAGCTCAAGGTGGCCAAACCGACATCGACATTCAGGTCATTCATCCTCGCCTAAACGGCGAGTTCATTCCAGTCACATTGTATTAAATGTCTATAGAGACTACATTGATTTCAGTATCGATTCATTTTCTAACCTAACCGTCCAAGTTAACATGCTTTGAAACCAGGCAAATGAAATGCTGCATCACAAGGCGAACCTAAACGGGTATCTCGCATATCACACTGGTCAAAGCCTGGAGAAGATAAACCAGGACACAGACCGTGATTTCTTCATGAGTGCTAAAGAAGCAAAAGAGTATGGGCTTATTGACGGTGTTATCATGAATCCTCTTAAAGCTCTTCAGCCACTTGCAGCTGCTTAATCGCCTGAAGGTAGTGGTTCAGCTTAGCACTTGCTCTTTTTTTGGGGTTTTATGAACTGAGATTTTCCATGAAATATGTTTCTAATCTAGAAGGGAAATCAGATTTGTGTGGGATCAAAATCAGTAGTTGATACATACATGAAGAACAAAAGTAAAGTTTCTTGCTCTGCTGTTTGATTGAACGACAGTGATCTCTAAGCTAAGCAATGTTTTTATCCATTATAATCGAATCATTTAGCCTATTTGCTTAATCTGGTGGTCGCACCATGTTTTTCTCCACTGCACCGTTTTAGATGGTAATGAATTGTAGAAGATTACCAAATTATGCATTTTAATTTTGACTTTCATTTTCAAACTGAAAGTTACAACTCCACTAGTCTTAATCCTGAGGTTTTCAAAAGTTTTAACACAATCGATTTATAACTAACTTGTCTGTTGAGTTATTTATTACCTGTCATCGAAGATCTTGAAATTATTCACTTTTTCTTTCAAAACATCAAAAAATGTTTAATTTAACATTTTAATCTACGTTTAATATCATATACACACGTATTTATGATCTAATTTAAGAAGAAGAAAAATGATATCGAGGAACTTTATCCATGTAATGGTCGAACACTAAGATATGTCGGGTCCATCGGATGCATATTTTGGTCAAAGAAACTATTTTTTGAGTATAATATATTACCAACTTGTAGTAACCATTATTTTAAATAGAATTTTAGCTTAAAGTATTAACATTATCTTCATTACTATTATTTTTCAAATAAATTATAAAAGACACGAGAATCATTCAGTTTAGCTGTGTTCATCGATGAAAAAATTATACAAAAAAATAGTGGGGCTTTTCATTAGGAAAAATATATATGTATGGTAGATTTAATATATAAAGGAATAAGAAAAGAGAGGAACTTTTTTTGTTGTTGCTAGACGACCATAGACGTGGCTGCCAAACACACTTTTTCCTAAAGCTTTATATAAATCTTTCTGACATCCTCTGTTTCTTCCCATTCAAGCAACAGTCACTTTCCATTTTTTTGCTTCCTCCTTCTTCTTTGCGAATTAAGATGGAACATGAAGAAACACAGAAGAACACAGGAAGCAGATGGTCACTGCTTCGACCATTTCAAATGATCTCTGTTAGCCTTCTTAGTCTCCTTGTCCCTCTCTCTTTCCTCTTCCTTTCACGTCTCTCTATCTCCTCCTCCTCAGCTCCAGTCACCGTTTCCGGCGTATTCTCCCTTCTACACCAGGCTGATGTCGGAGTCTTATACACAATCTTGTCACTTATCGTCGTCTCCACTTTAATCCACAATCTCTCCGGAACACCAAAATGCTCTGTTCTCCATGCCCATCTGTACATCTGCTGGATCATTCTATTCATCGTCCAAGCTTGTGTCGCCTTCGGAATAGAAGGAACCATGAGCACGACCATGTCTATGAATACAGACAAAAGCTTTTCTCTTGCTGCTCAAGAAAGGTGGGTTTTGGTTAGGGTTATGTTCTTTTTGGGCCTACACGAAGTGACGCTGATGTGGTTTAGAGTCGTGGTTAAACCGGTGGTTGATGACACTGTCTTTGGGGTTTACGTAGAGGAGGAGAGATGGTCGGAGAGAGCCGTCGTGGCCGTGACTTTCGGTCTGATGTGGTGGTGGAGGCTGAGAGATGAGGTTGAAAGTTTGGCGGTGGTTGCAGAGGTTAAGCGTAACCTTCTGATTCGTTTGGAGGGTCTCGATTTTGTAAACTGGTGGATGTATTACATCTGTGTTGGAATTGGTTTGGTTAAGATCTTCAAAGGGTTTTTGTATTTTGTGAATATGTTAATTTTGACCGTCAAGAGGTCGAGAAAGTGCTGCGAATCCTGTATTGTTATTGATGATGATACGTGTAATGATGCTAATGTGTAAGGGATTTGAGATATTTAAACTCAAAACTCAACTGAATATTTTTGAGACTTTTTTTTTTTATTTAATTTAAATTTTCTTCTTTCTTTGATATGTTATTTAACTATATATATCAAATAATTAAGTTCATACTATGTGAGTTTTAAACTTGAGGTGTCAAAACGTTATATCAGAGCCAAGCCAACATCAGAACATGAACATGTATATAGTATGTATTTCAAAATTAAAGTTTTCCTAATATTGTCATATTCTTTGCCTTTTAAAGCATGTGGTTACATATACGTTTCTTCCAGATTATAGTTTTCCTTATGAAACCTTTTTTCCTCATTTTTGTTTGACTTGTTATTTAATTAAAAATCCCCATACATACACATTGCCCTTTTCATTTCAACAACATCAGAGAAGATGAAGAAGATAACAAGAGGGCAGAGGGTAATGGCAATGGTGAGTTATACAATACTCCAAGTCGATCCGAATCGACTGGGTTATGAAATCCATAATTTGTTGGGGTGTATAAATGATACTGCTTGTGCTTTCTTTTTGTTTTACATCATTTTCGTGATTTCACATTACTTGTAGGAAACCCATGAAGATGGTGAGGATTTGCCACTCGAGATAATTCAGATCAAAGAGCAAATCGAAAAAGAGAGATTTAAGCACATCAAAGTAAGAGACTTTTACCCTCAAAAAGACTTTTGCTTGCTTCAATATTTTCTGAAAATTAAAGAGATGAGAGACTTATTAATCTGTTAGCTATAGGATTGCATATAGATGTTAAAGATAAACCGAACTTAGATATTATATGTTTTTTTCAAATAAATAGTAGTAGTAGTAGTACACTTTTTATGTACAAACACACAAGTTTAAGCATTCGAGAGAGCCTCATGACAAGGTTTTCAAAATTTGGTTAGGTCAAAAGCCAAGAATGATGCGTCGAAGATTGAAAATAAATTGCAATTTTCAAAATCAGTAACCTAGCTATTAATTGATTAACAGGAAACATTCGAGCATAGATGCAAACAGAGAGTTTATGCTCATGCTTTCCACCATCAGTTGCTTGCCTTAACACGGCCTGATGCAAAGTATAATAATGGAAGAGACAACAATACTACGCTTCTTTCAAGAATGGAACAACCACTTCGTCATTTCATTGGCTCCTCTGATTATGTTTCTAACAATAAGGAAGGTCATTATGTTTATGATCGAGAATTTAAATTACAAAGTGTCAAGCTTCCATTTCTTGAGCAGCTACCACGATCCGTTACATGGGTCTTCACCAATAGGCATGTTTCTTTCTTTTTTTTCGTAACTGCTTCCAAAATTCATATCATATACTATGTTTATCACTACTCATATTGCATGAATACATGTCTTTAACACTACTGCAGAAGCCATCTGATGGCTGAGAGTGATTCTGTGTTTGGTAAGAGACAAATCTACTATTTGGATGGTGAGGCAGTAGAATTGAGCAGCGAAGAAGAAGACGAAGAAGATGAAGCAGAAGATGAGGAAGAACCCATTAAAGAAAAACGTGAATTCTCCAAGGGTGTAGACCGGTTTATATGGTTAGTTTTTGCATTACATGTACATATATATATGTTCTGTATTCACTCAAGTAGTCCGTAATTTATTAAGCTGTTCAAAAAAAATTCTAGGATGGTTGGGCAGGATTATGGTTTGGATGATCAGGTCGTGCTGAGGGCTCTCGCCAAGTACTTCGAAGTGGATGCTTCCGATATATTGGTAATAGTCAATACATCAATAAATAGTTTTCATTTGTTTTGTTGTTAGTCGTGAGGAATGTTATGAAATTTCAAAACTAAATTATTATGTAGGAACGATACAATGAGCTCAAGCTTAACAATGATGAAGATGTTGGAGAGACTTCTGACTTGAGTTCCAAGGAAACCATTGATCTTTTCCAGGAAGCTGCTTATAGGCGTCACTGCCGTCGTTGCTTGGTAACTTTGAATCTTTCTCTTCTTTTTTTTTTGTTTCTACAAAGAGAAGATTAATACATGCTTTTATTTGATTTTTGATAGATATTTGATTGTCATACGCATGAGTTGTATCAGCCTGTGATTAAATCTGTAAGCTTGAAACTTATTTATTTAATTAAACTTTTAGTTGCATAATTAGCCTTATACGCTTAAGTAATTAACTTAACAAGATTATTGCTTTCGCTTTTCAGGGAGAAAGTAGTAAATCTAATTTGTCTATGAATGAAGATGATAATGAACAATGCAGTGAGCATTGTTACCTCACAGAAACTGCATATCATGTAGTGATTGATACTAACGAAGTAACGACAGATATTAGAGAGATGACTACGTGGACGCCTCCAGAGAAGGATCTTTACATGAAAGGACTTGAAATTTTTGGGAGAAACAGGTAATTTTTTTTTTTTTAATGGGTTTCATGTGTATCGTACTATACATGATCATCATGCTTATGTATACTTACAATTTGTATGTATTCCTCTTGATCATGCTTTTTCGCAGCTGTCTTATTGGAACAAACGTACTTCGGGGGTATAAGACGTGCCGAGATATTTACAATTACATGACTGAACAAGACCAATCTATTTTGTTATTAGAACATAACAAAACTAATAAACATAAGGTAAACTAAACTAAACTAAATTATGTCGTAATCCTCATGATGACATGTATGTAAAAACACATAATTCAAGTTTCATATACGTGCTTCCATTTACAGGTTCACAGAAAAGTATATCGAAAAAATACTAAGTTCGTCCGCAAGAAAATCAGACGACGAACATATGCTCGTTGTCCACCAGCTTTAAAAAAAACAGCTAATGGAGAAGTTAAGTATTATAAGCACTACACACCATGCACTTGCGAGTCAACATGTGGAGATCAATGCCCTTGTTTAACTAATGAAAACTGCTGCGAAAAATTTTGCGGGTAACGTCATTGTTTTTTTTTTTTTACTCGTATACGGTATACTTTTATAACTATGAGAATGGTCAAACTCAAATTATAAGTTTATATGTATTTTTTTTTTCACTACAGGTGCTCAAAGAATTGCAATAATCGTTTTGGAGGATGTAATTGTGGAATCGGTCAATGCGTAAACCGACAATGTCCTTGCGTCGCTGCTAGTCGTGAATGCGATCCAGATATTTGTCGGAAATGTTTTGCTTGGTAACACTTTTACTTCAATATCTCTTTTTTTTTTCTTACAAAAATTCGATCATTAAAGTTCTAACCAAACGTCGTTATGCTATAGTTGGGGACATGAGGAAACAGAGCAAACACAACCATGCAAGAACATGCAATTCCTTCTTAACAAAAATAAGAAGGTAAACCATATCAACGTCAATTATTTTATCCTTTTTCTTATTCGCTGATTTTTACGAAAAACGTTTAATTATGTTTCTTTCTTTTTAACTAGCTTCTCATTGGAAGGTCTGATGTTCAAGGATGGGGTGCATTTACACTGGTCATAATTAAAAAAAAAATAAAAAAAAAAGCAAAATTTAATAGTTTTTGGTGCATTAATAACTCTTTTTCTGTTCTTTTTAATATATGTTTAATACATTAGACCATTAATATGTGTGATTTCGTTTGAACTGTGGTCAGCACTCGATTAAAAAGAATGAGTATCTTGGAGAATATACTGGCGAACTGATTAGTCATGCTGAGGCAGAAGAGCGTGGGAGAGTTGAAGATCGGACTGGTTATTCCTACCTCTTTACCTTGAATGACCAAGTAACCTTAGTCTCTCCCGGCCCATCTTTTTCTATTCGCGAGTTATATATATTCTCATCAAAGTAACATGTTACAGCTTGAAATCGATGCTCGCCGTATAGGAAACAAGTTAAAATTTCTCAATCACTCATCAAAACCTAACTGCTACGCCAAGGTACCAATTCATTAAGTATACTTGATTCTTGAACATATACTAACCTTTAAAAAAAAAACACACATTTCAGTTAAATCATGTATCAAATTTACTCGTTACTGATTGGTTGGTTCTCACGTAGAAATCATATATCTCCAAAACATGCCAAGATATTCAAACTAGCGTGACATGGTTATATATATTGTCTATATGGTTTCGTGTGCAGTTGATGATTGTGAGGGGAGATCAGAGGATTGGCATATTCGCGGAGAAGGCTATAGAAGAAGGTGAGGAGCTATTCTTCGACTATTGCTATGGACCTGATCATGCAGGTTGGTCTCGTGGTCAAAATACTAAAAACACTGGTGCTTCTAAAAAGTCTAAGGAAGTCGTCCCTTCATCTGAGGAGAAGAGCGATTCAGGCAGTCGTCTTTAGAGTTTTATCATATCATCGATGAATAATGTTTGTGTTACCAAACCAAAACTCAAGTTTCTGTTTTATTTGTTTGTCATATCATGTGACTTAACTCTCAAAGTTTTCCATTTGTATTTCAATTTTTTTTTTATATAAAAAAAAAACAATGTTTGACATAGAACTTTATATTATATATTTTGTTTTCAGAAATTTACATTTATTAGTATATAGCCTAAAAACACATATATAACATCAAGTTACAATTAAGTATACGTATATCAGTATATGGTACGTAATATATAAAAAATGTCAAACATAATACTGGGTTATATAATCACAGAGAATTTGTTACGAAGGATATAGTTAGAATTTGTAGGTCTTCAATTGTCGATATAAGATTTTCAAACTTTTTTTGAAACTATAATTTTTCTTTCCCGTTAATATATTAATATGAATATCTTGTACGAAATAACAACAAAGTGGCTGTAGTTTAGTGGTAAGAATTCCACGTTGTGGCCGTGGAGACCTGGGCTCGAATCCCAGCAGCCACACTTTGAATCTTTTTTCACCCTTTTTCTTCACACAAGGGTGTTTTCGTCTTTTACACCTGGACCACCATTAGATCTTGATCTGTCCTCTAGTTTACGGAAATTTTATCAAATCGGGCTATTAAAATTTATTCCTAATGGGCCGAATAAATTTTCTTTACCAAACATAAACTTGAATAAATTCCTAATTGGGCTATTCAAGTTTCCATGAACACTTATTTGGAAGATAATGGTGAAGTGTTTTTTCCTCTAATTTATGTTTGGATATTTCAATTAAAATCTATATGACAAAATATACATTTGCTAATGGTTACATATTCCTATTTTCTTTGTGGGGAATAAAGGTTTAAACAAAAAGAAAGAGGAAAAAATATAATCAAGCCAAATGTTGTTGTTGCTCATCCTCCTCCAAACCATTATCTTCTTCTTCAGAGCTCAATGTATCTTCTTCAGATTCCTATCAAAACGAATGACCAACAATATATAAGTCTACATAGAGACAAAGAGTTCTAACTAAAGAACATTATGTGTGAACTTTAGAATGTAATTAATGGGGTTAATGTCAAACATTTCACGATTATTACAATCAAGTGATCAACAGTCTATGTCTTAGGAGGGGCTTACGAGAATTTGATATCGGAGACTTCTCTGAATAGCTGTGATGGTTCGGATGATAACGAGCATTGGCAATAGTATGCCAATGGCCTTCAATGTTATTACCTGCCATATTATTTTCCCCATCCATATAAGTTTTAAAAACATGCAATACTAAATAGTAAAATCCTTTACCGTAGTAAGATTAAAAAGAGAACATTTACCGTGAAAATTGTGAAAGGATACTCGTCGGTTCCATAAACCACATCAAATGCATGCTTTATCAACAAAACCACCGAAAACTGCAAAAAAAAAATAAAAAAAAATAAGAAGAATATATACCAATTTAATATCCAACCAACAAAAATAATGATAGAAAGAGTCACGCCCGTAAAAAAAGATGTAACATAAGGATATTGAAATAATATGATAATATGGTGTTTAGTCCAAATAAAATTGGTTTGGTTCAATTTGGGTATGGCTTCAAATATGGGTTAAAGCTTTAGACAGACGTCATGGCGCATATGTTGTTACCCGCACTTGCACAAAGTAAAGTATGAATCATATTTGAATTTAGTAAACAGAACATTCTTTTGGTTCCAAAAGAAGAAACTTTTTATCCTTTTCCTTAAAGGTTTTTTGGTCGACCAAACATACTACCAAACCTAAGCAACCCGACCAGCCAAACGCACCAAACCTAATAAGTGCCCGTAACCATGATTCTTATGTTCTTATAACTCTTGGAATTCATAGCACCACTTAAGTTGAACCATTACAACGGGTTTTAAATAATATAGATTGTTTTAAAGATACTACTAGTATTATTTAAAATTTTTAAAAACAACATAAATGACTTTAAAAATGTTAGTTTCAATAAATATAAAAATTAAATGATAAACAAGTACCCGTTTTTGTTAGCAATTAATTGTGTTCACTAACTCTGTTTAAAAATTATAAACGATCAATAATGAAAGTGGAGATATGTGTTATTATTATGATGACTAGTGGTTAGCAAATCATGGGAACCTTAAATGTCGATTCGATAGAAGTGGTTGCCATTTCTGATTTGGACCTCACACACACGTAAACCAAAAAGATTTTTGTGTTCCTCGCATATCAAATTAATGCCTTAATATATATTTAACTAAAGTGTTTTAGAGTATATAAATCATTTAGTCACCTAACTATAAAAAAAATGCTTATACGAATAATGATAAATAATATTAGATGGAAATAAAGAACTTACGAAGAGAGCGAAGAATCGACAACAAGAGGCGCTTCTGTCAACAACACCAGAGGAGTTGCATTCTGATTCTGATGATGAGTCAGCTCTGCTCTCTACTAATCTTCTGTTTCTTCTCCTTCTTCCATTTTGTCCCCTCGCTATTATATCTATATCATCTCTGTTTCATAATTAGTGAATTTATTTTTATTAGATTATACTATTATATACTTATAGAAAAAACTAAAACCTCGAATATTTTGTTTTAAAACTAAGAAAATTACCTGATTGTGACCGTTGCTGCTTCGATCAGTCGACATGGTTTTGAAGTTGTGGTATACCCAGGTTTATACTCCTGCAAAATATATGTATAACAAATTTTTGTTTAATCATGTTCGTCTTTGTCAACATTTTCTCATTATACTTAACTTTACTATATTTACTTAAGTATATATATATATATTTAAAAAAATGGAAAAAAAGACAGCCAGAATCAGAAAAGTACATCCTCCAAGTTTTGGGTTAGGGGTCCCATAAAGCGAAGGATCCAGTTACCATTTTTGTTCTTAACCCTTTTTTTGTAACCCATTGAAAATATGTATTTATTGATATTTGATAGATAAATAACTCTGAAAAATACATACGAAGAATAATAAACAGCGTGGCATTGGCTCATTGATTACGATTTCTTACAAGAGAATCGAATATTTTTCCTTTTTTCCTAATTCTGCAAACAAAAGATTACGGGACACGTAGGATAACTTGTTTTCGTAACACGTATCCTTCTTATTGGAGAAAACTAGTTGAAAAACTTTAGATGATGAAGATGAAGAAGAAGAAAACAATTACGTAAATTCAAAAAACTTTGGTGAGAAGATGTAAAAAAATTATTATATAATCTTTAAATCCAACAAAATGGTTTTAAAATAATGAAACTGGTTGATTGAGATTAGTTCGAAAGAAACAAAAAAAAGAAAAAACAAACCTGGAGACAAATTTCACAAATTTTGTTTCCTTTCTCATCGCACCATCGTTGTATGCAATCTCTGTGAGCGTACTGATCCAACCCCAAATCAAAAATACATATATTCAAGTTTGTTAATAATAATAGAAGAAGAGAAATTAAAAAAGAAGCAAAGCTTTTGATTAGGAAGATACCTTGATGGTTCCAGAGCAAGAACAAGGAGCTTCAAAGTAGCTCTCAGCTTCTTCTTCTTCTTCTTCGTGGCAGATTCTACACCGACTCGAACTCGTTTTCGAATAACTTTCATCTATATACAAAACTACATCACCCATCTCTTCTTAATCCTTTCGTCTCTCCTTTTTTAAAACAAGTTTTAGATGAGAAAAAGAAAGCTCTGCTTTGCTCTGTTTTTGTTTTGTTTTGTTTTGTTTCTTTTTGTGTGAAGAACGAACGAAAACATATGTAAAGAGAAGAGGAGTTCAACTTTAAAAGGTGCTCGTTAAAACATACGTCATTGAATTTACAAGTTTGCCCTTCTCTTTGATTGGTTTTTATTTGGATAAAATTTATACAGTATATTCCTTAATCCGCTTTTTTGTTAATGGTCCTTTTAGATTCTGATTTAATTTTGCTGATTATATAATGTAAACCTGTAATAACAATTTTCCCAGCGGCGTCAAAAACCTTGACCTAATGAGTTTTGCTGCAATTTTTGTTTTGACCGTTCAGATAATACCATAGTTGTAACTTTGAATTTTTTGACCGTAAAATACTTGTTGGGTTTAGACAACTACATGTTTTGTATACGTAAAATCATACTAATATAAAAAAATATATATATATATATATAAACGCATTCATTTATGATATATGATTTATGCATTCGTTTTATAAAATCTGGTATGTGAGTCAGTTTGTAAAAATCTACTAGCATAGTAAGTATTGTTTTAGAGTTAGAATTTGAATTATTTTAATGTAGGTAAATTAAAGAAAAATTAAAGAATTCATATTATTAATTTAATGAGTTGGAACAGAACAGTTGGATATAATAATCGTATTATTTTTGGTAATACGGCGTATTTTGAACAGTTGTTGGGACATAAGCAGAACAGTACAGTAGATAAACAAAAAAAAAGGTTGTATAAACTACTAGTTACGAGATTCATTCATCACACAGCACAGGTCAAAGCGTACACGCTGTATTCTTTGTCATCTATCTTTTGTTTATACTGTAGTATAATATATACTTGGATACCACAATAATATTATATATAGTAAGTATTATATGTTATGCAATTAGGCAATTAGAGAAAATAGTAAGATGTTTACATAAGTAGGACAGCGACAAACCAAATACGAATATTTTAGATTACAGTATAATTAATTCTTGACCACTACATATTGATACTAATACTATGAGTAAGAAATGTTTACAGTAATTACATTAACTAATTTCTTCTCGTTGTTTAAGAAATGTTTTTCTTAGTTCTTGGGGCATCCTTTTCTTGAAAAACGTTTTCGATTTTGTTCGAGTTTCTTTGTTTTTCTTGATATTTGCGTGGTGGCTTTCTCCGAAAATGTAAATTTTTTTTTTTTTTTGTCGCCCTCCGGAAAATGTAATTAGTAGTCGTAATTAGTAGTATAAGAAGATATGGATGGTTGATGCAAAGAAAACTTTATGCACACGTTGAGATAAAGATTGCCATACACATAAGAAAATTCTTTTAGGCCTTTTTTATTTTTACTTGGCCATTCCCACTCTCAAAGTACACTTGGACGCAGACATTTGGGCTCTTATCTTTAATTTGGTTCCGTCCGATCTTATCTTCTTCCTTCTTGTTTTTTTATTTCGGCTGATTAATTATATTATTAACATCCACAAAAGCACAAACAAAAAGAATAGAAAATTCCAATATTTATGGTCGGCATAATCCTCCAACATTAATGGGTGACACAAACACAAATATGTACACGAGGTTACTAAATATATCGTATCTATCATATGCTTTTTAATTCTTTCCCATCAAAATTATACTTGGTCCAAGTTAAAAAAATAAACATACAATAGTATTTTGTACTATTCAACACTATCAAATTTTAATCTAGTTATGTATTATATAGTGTCTTTGTGAGTTGTAAAGAGAGATAGAGAGAGAGAGATACACAGTAGTCGAATCGAAAGAGACCATTCCCACTTGCTAAAGCCTAAGCAAAAATATCTCCTTCTCTAATGGACCCAATTCAAAAAGTGAAAAGCCTATTAATAGCTTATCTTAGTGCGCGGCCTCTCACCGTTTCATGGGCCTTTTTTTAATTGTGTGTGTTATTTGACTTATATTTTAGGAATCTCCACACTTCTTGCCGTTTTACTTTTACACAGCCTTCAGGAATCAACACACTGCATGCCGTTTTTATTAGTACTTCCCTCAGAGTAGATCCTCACAAGTTCTTTTCTTCTTTGTCTCTTCTTTTGGTTTCTTCGTTTACTCGTCTTCGAACGAAGCTAAGAAATTCGAACAAAAGTTGATAACGATCGCATCTCGATCTGGTTTTGGAAGATCGTGCGGCGATGTTCTTGGTAGATTGGTTCTACGGCGTGCTTGCTTCGCTAGGTCTATGGCAGAAAGAAGCCAAGATCTTGTTTCTAGGTCTCGATAACGCTGGTAAAACCACCTTGCTTCACATGTTAAAAGACGAGGTTCGTTTCTCGCCTTTCCCCCTCTCTCTATTTTTCTCGTCCTTCTTCTGGATCATGTTCTAGTTTCAGCTATCGAACCAATCGATCAAATTCGTCTTTTTTTTTTAAAATTTCCTTTTGTTTGATTTGTCGCCGATTAGATCTTCAATTTCGTATGTAATTGGAATCTGGGTTTCGAGTCTGTTCTTAAAAGTGTCTAAATTTGAATATAGCAATTTGATTTGCTTCCGTATTCTCGCATATCCAAATCAGGGTTTACTTTCTTTTTATGCATTCAGATTCCACAGCTGTAGATGTTTACTCTGATGTCAGTTTTGGGTTCCTGATGAATTTACTTTAGGATGATTTTAGCTGATTTTTTTGGAGTTTTTTTTGTTCAACAGAGATTAGTGCAGCATCAACCAACTCAGCATCCGACCTCTGAAGAACTTAGCATTGGCAAAATCAAATTCAAGGCTTTTGACTTGGGTGGTCATCAAATCGCACGAAGAGTGTGGAAAGATTACTATGCTAAGGTTAGAATCTTATTCACTGATCATTTCTTTATGCACTAAGAACCTTGAGAAGCCTTCTTTTAAGATTATTTCACTTAAGGAATATTTGCACTCACTGGACCAGCTAGTTCTTCTTAAATTGTGCTTTAAGTTACATATATGCATTGTCGTTTTCGAAAGGGGTTTCTTTTGAATCGAAGATATTCTATATGTAGCATTATGTGTTTAAAACTTTCATAGGGTATTGATTCTTCTTGAGGGGTTTCACAGGTTGATGCTGTGGTCTACTTAGTGGATGCTTATGACAAAGAGAGATTTGCAGAATCAAAAAAGGAGCTCGATGCACTCCTCTCAGACGAATCCTTAGCCACTGTCCCATTCCTTATCCTAGGGAACAAGATCGACATACCTTATGCTGCATCTGAGGATGAGCTTCGATTCCACCTTGGTCTCTCCAATTTCACCACTGGTAAAGGCAAAGTGAATCTAACTGATTCTAATGTGAGACCATTGGAGGTGTTTATGTGCAGCATTGTTAGGAAAATGGGATATGGTGAAGGCTTCAAGTGGCTCTCTCAATACATTAAATAGATGGCGCCCTGGGCAAGTCTATAGAATCCTTCCCTCTGTTTTTCGTATGTTGCTTCTCGTACTTTAGCTGTTCTGTCTTGTTTACTTACAACTTTCTACTTGTTGGTATATTTAGATTCGTAATCTGAATATTTTCATCAGGTTCTCTTTGTAATCAATCCATCAGCGGATGATCTTTCAGTTACAACGTCGTTTTATGTTTAGTTTGTTTAAAATATGTAGTCACCTATGTGTAATTTTGTTACATTATATATAGCCAAATGTAGCAACGTAATCGGCTGTTCCAACTTGGACCTCATCGTCTTTTAGAAAATTGCCTGCATGTACTCTCTCGTAATAGTAGAGTGAAATTTATAACCTAGCATGATCGAGGGAATGATGCAAAATTTGCAATACTTGATGAAAGGCATCATTACAACTGACTTAGTCTGTTAGTCATTATCGGTATGAAAAGTCTCATATATTACTAACAACAACAAGTTGCAACTCATAAATGGTTTTAAGGAGTCGAAAGAAAGTATAACTACAAACTCATACGAGTAATATATACTCTCGTCCCAAGAAAAATGGCTTTCAACAATAACATTAAAAAAGAAAGAATGACTCATCTAACAACCACAGAATATTACAACGAAATTAGGTTATTATCCACATTATTACCAGACAAAATTCTGGTCAGACAAGTAGCAGACGAAAACCTCCCTAGCAAATTGAGCCGACTATGCGTTTCTGATAAACTCTTTTTAAAAACATAAGTTCGTGTCTTAGTAGCCTCCCATCGGTGGCATTCCATATGCTGGCATGGGAGGCATTCCTGGCATACCGCCCATTGTTGGTGGCGGACCATACCCACCACCACCTCCCATTCCTGGCATCGGTGGTGCAGGCAAAGCAAGTGGTAACAGCTGGGCGTACATGTTCTGTTTAAAAACAAAAGAAAAACATAATACTCCTTTATACTGTGTCTGTCAAGAAAAAGAGTATGGGTGATATCGAGCGTAGCTGTGTGGTTAGTACCTGTTGGGACATGACCTCCTTCTCTTCCTGCTCTTTGGCCTTCACTTCTTTTTGTGCCTCCAGCTTGTCCTTCACTAGCTCATCCACTTTGCCAGAGTATTCTCGGATAAACTACAAAGAAAACAGGACACCATCAAAAGAATTCATCATACCGTTCTAATAATGGTTTCCATCTCATGGAGCAGAGAATCAAAAGAGTGTAT